TGGTAACAACAAAAAGAAAGACTTCTATTTGGACTTGTGATCAGGAAGTCAGACAGAAAACATAAAATAACTTACAGACTTGCCCTTGTTCCATTCTGTTACCTTAACGAAGGTAAGAACTCACATAACTGGATTCTTTGAGGCAACTTTCTTTCCGTTTAAAAATGCACAAGCGAGAACGACACTTGGCTGGAGAAGAAGACTTCAAATATGCATCACTGCATTTTCAGAAATTACATCTTTTAGTTTTTCTGAACTCAAAAAGGCTGCCCTTCATCATGTTGGTGGGGTTGCCAGTTTATAAATGAATCTTGATTGTGTGTGTAGTGATAGTTCACACGTGCCCTACCTCATCATAAGTGTAGTCTCTTTCTGTGCCGGCCCAAGCTGGTCCCGTGAAGGAGGTGAATGAGACACCATCGTTGTTCTTTCCATCGTCATCGTCCAGAACTACAAACACAACATACAGACATCATCAGTCATGCTGCTCATTTTACTTCTCTACATGAAAAAGGGGGAGGTGGCTTATTCCCACCATCGTCCTTCTCCAGTGCTTCTCCCTCGTCAAAATCTACTTTCTTCTGCTTCTTCTTTTTGGTTGGAAGCATCAAGTCCAGGTTGTCCTCTTCCAGCACCTCTGTCTGCTCTCCTTCAATTTTCAGCTCCTGGTTGAGACCAAGTAAAAATAAAATTCAGCGACAAGATGACAAACACTACATGTGAATGCGGTTAAGACATTAAAGTGAAGTGATGGGAAAACTACAGTAAAAGTGGAAGAGGAAGTACTGATGTAAAATGTTGAGAGAAACAGAAACAATGAGGAGAGAAGAAAAGAAGGATTGCGAAGGTTCAGTTTAGCTGGGACTGACCTTTAATCCCTCCTCGACTTCATTTTCAAATACTTTTTTGGGCTTCTTCTTCTTTTTCTTCTGGTTGAAGAAGTTGAGGTCGTTCAGATCATCAGATGGCTCTAGAGAAGATGAAACTCAGATTAGATGCACCTTAATGCAGAGGGACATTAAATGAATATTGTAACATCCCTCTACAACATCAAGGCTTATACATGAGCTTTCAGTGAGAACCATCTTTGTTTTCATTCAAACCTTTCTTCCTGCCCTCATCTTCATCCAGATCCATCTCCTTGTCATCTCCAGCCTCTGGTTCCATCTCCTTCGCCTCCACCTCTTTAGCCTCTTCTCCGCCCACGCCCTCTCCTCCTTCCTCATCCAGCATGAAGGGCTTCTTCTTCTTCTTCTTCTTCTTGGTCATGTTGGGATCGAAAATCATCTGAAGTGAAGAGAAAACAAGAAAGAAATTAAGTTTTATGACCCCATTAACAAGATGACGGCAAACATGGACATTTTTGTTTTCCCCATGTGTGAAATTAGTTTTTTATTTTATTAACCAAAGGTCAACTTTTCCTTCCTTATCTATTGTGACGTTTTTCCCGCTTCCCCTTTCATGTGACTACAACAGGTTACAGGGCAATAAAGCTGTGAATCCAGGAGTAAAATGCCATTCATTTTCTGAATACAGATTTCGATTGTCAGCCATAATACTGTAACCATCCGATCCACAAGCTACACGACTGTGAAACAATGTTATGAGCTCCTGTAGAAGCCACAGGCCTGAATGACGTCAACCGTGTTTTAAGAAAAACTTTTTTGTTTGCCATCTTAAGGAGGAATACTAGAATACCCACAATCCTTGGCAATGTACCACATCTACAAAAATTATGGCTAAAATCAGATTGTTCAGTGTGACATTACGTTCACCACAGAGCAACCGTGACTTCTCTTTCTAACATGCTGCGGAAAGTCCATGGGAGAGAATATCACAACACGGTTTAATTCAGGAAGAAGCACACTGGAAATCATTGGAAAGAAACTATTCACAATGGTTTATGGGAAGTGTAGTTCCTTCACTCTATAGTCTTGTAACATTGCCTTTTTTCCATGGGAATCGAATGTTTTATGCTTGAAACTCTTTTTACAAGGATTTTCTGAAACATCAATGGAGACAATGAATGAAACATTTCCTTCTGGAACCAGAGCTGTTCTAAAAGTGGGCGGTCACAGTTACCGCAGGTGTCCCATGTACCAGGAGACCAGATGAGGCAGAAGGGAAGAACATGTCTCCTCTCTTTACATATCAAGTCACCACTGAGTCACCACAGCCACCTGCTGTGTAAAATGTGTTTCCAGTCAGTTTAACCCATTGCCACATTCACAGCAGATTCACATTCAATGAATGGAGTACTGTTGTTCCACCTCACTGTAGTTTGACAGATAATCACCACTATTAAGGCCTAAATGAAAACTCTGATTAAAAATCTGAGGCTGAAACCATCATTTCATTGACTAAGTTTATTTGATGGTGAGTCATGAACCTGAGTCAAAAATCATTTACCTGGTTAGAGACTCTCCAGTGAAATGTGATGGTTGATTGAATGTGTCATTGTTATGAACTTTATCCAGTTATTATGGATTGATCGATGAGCGGCAGCACAAACATTCAGAACTGGTTTTAAATGTATTAACGACTGAGATCTAACGTCACATTGACTCTGTTCCTACAAAAAGCACATAAATGAAAGACGACATGTTTCATTGTAATAACGATGAGCAGTCAGCGGTGTGTTGTCTCCACTGGGTTTTAGAGGAAAGACACTTCAGTAGAATATAAATGAACCCTCGCTGGCTCTCCTGCTCCCGATGGGGAAAAAACCAAGGGCTAGCGCCGCAGCTTATTGAACAGTAAGCTAACTATGCTAACTAGCTAGCTCCAGCGCCTCGGTGCGAGTTCCCCAGCGGCCATGACAAGGCGGATTAAAGAGCCACGCGACTATCGATCATCTACACGATGATCGCGAGCACATGGACCGTGTAACAGTGGCGCATCGGGGGGTTTTCTCGTAATTTCAGACCGGGTCGGGCCGCTGTTAGCTCGGCTGCTGCCATGTGAGCGCTGCTGCGGACAGGGAGGGGAGCAGCAGCGGCGAGGCCCAAAGTCATCCTCCACATCTGAGCCGAGATCCCCGACACATTTACCCAGCGAGAGCGCCCGGTGACGCGGGCCGCGCGGCGGACAACCCCCGGAGACTCACCTCGTCTCCTGACATGTTTGCGGGCTGAAAAGAATCTGAACTCCGGTCACTTTTTTGTCCTCCTCGATCAGACCCACACCGCTGCGCCGAAAATGTCTTGCATCAGCGCCGGAACCGCAGTGCGCAAGCGTGACGTCGACGCAACCCGACGTGATCAGTGCGCGACGGCGCGTCTCAGTCGAGCTGCGTTCAAGAGCACATCCAGAACTGTTGCTAAACAAGTACTGTGAGTTAGAAGAGGTCTGTTTTCACCACGGTCCTGGAAACAGACACAGCAATGGTTCAGCTCTTATGTTCTGTATTTTTTAATGTTATTTGAATACTCTGGATGATCACAATTATACTATCACTTCCTCCTGTTACAGTTGTTTTACTAATAGACTGATTATGGAGATAACTAAACAACAGTTCACCTTCTGATTATTACAAAATTATACCAATAATAACTTGTAGATCTTTGTTGATTTGAATTACACTGAAATTATTAACCAATAATAAGTCAATCAGCAAAAATTATAATCTATTGGCTATTTTTGGTGATTTTTTAATTCAGCTTTCAAACTAAAATGCCAGACTTGCTCTGATACTTTGTGATTTGCTGTTTGTCTTCTTTGATCGTGTGTTTTTAAGTGCTGGTCAGACAAAAGGTTCAACGTGAAAGCTTTACCGAGGGAGAGGGAAACTTTAACTTCAAAGTTGATCAATCAAGAAAGTAATTAACAGATAAATTAATAATTCTGTGAGCCTGATGTGGCTGTAAAGCAACAAATGATACACTTCACTAAATACACTGATATCACATGACGAAAAAGTGAAAAGATTCAGTACAATAAAATCATTTGAAAACTTTTAATGATTTAGCAAATAATCTGGATAAATTAACACTGAAATGCAAACATGCTGCTTCATCCTTTATCGTGTTATGCTTTTCTATTTTTTATGTAAAAAATGTACATCATGACTTTGAAAAACTAAAGGAATTAACTCTTTCAACTCCAAAATGCTGATGTTGTAGACAGACTATGTATTGTTATTAATATTATTATTATTGTTTACATTATACAATTTGAAATAGAAACCTTTATGAGAAGGACGGAGACAGACAGCAGGATGTTTAAGGTTCAACACCTCTCTCTAGCTGTGCATTGTGAAGTGTGTTGTGACCTTCCACTGTTGCATGCTTTAGTTTACACAACCCCAACAGAAACTCTCGGTGACAGCAAAAATACAGCATATAAAAAGAGATACATTTGGGATATTTACAACAAATAACAAGAACCACTGGTGAGAATGTGTCTGTGGGGTGGGGGCATTGAAATGACAACAAAAGTAGGGACGCACACAACCTAATACAAAAGAAGAGGTTCAGATTCTGGCAAACACACACACAGCCTCTAGCCTTTTCACCCAGCGCATGCTCAGCTGCTCTTCTATTTTCAGTGCAGTTAACAAATAAAATAAGATAAAACAACAGGGAGTAAAACTTATTTTTGTCAAAAAGGAAAAAAAAAACATCTAGTGGATTTCACCCTATAAACAAAGGTAAATATGTCAGACACAGATAATTGAAGATTCATCTTCAGTCAAATTTCCCTCTTGTCATTCAGTGACGTTCACAACGCCACACACAACAGCTCCGTTAGTTCACCACAGAGCTCACAACAGTAGCAGCGCACTTTAATGTGAGCCCTGTAGGTGTTGAAATGCCCTGCCCACTGCAAGGACCAGGAAATGCTTGTGTTGTATTGAAATCAAGGGCATGGCAATTACCATGGTAAAGTGACAGAGATTCAATATAAAAGCTGCCGACTGGCTCATCTTCATTAAACACGGAGGGGTTTCTGGATATCGGTAGTGCAGGGGATGGAAAAAGAGACACTACAGCATTATTTGCTTTTTTTTTTAGTGTTACATAAAATAGACGTTATCTCTCTGCAGACACACAAAGAACACTCATCACAACATCCTATCAGTCCATTCATTTCCTAATTGTTCTTTCAGCTTCCCTCTCAGATGCAGGTATGATGTAGCAGATGCTGTGTTTACATGGCTTCCATCGCCCAGCGCTGCAGGTCCTCGATGTCGTCCTTGTCCTCCTCTTTCTTGGCTTTAGGGGTGAAAAGACAGAAATAATGTTACGTTATGTTTCAGCGGATGTCTGTTGGATTCCAGACCCAGGGATCAACATAAAGACAAACCCTCTACAACAGAAGCTGCTTTCAGACAAGTACTGAACTGATTCTCATTCTCCACTTCTTCTGGAATTTCTGTTGCCAGCACCCTGATAAAACTCAAGGTAAGCCCATGTGAGAAAACAGCCAGAGATTATCCAGAGGATTCACCCCAAGTGGGTGGACGCGTTAATGATGTTAAACATGTGACAGACGCAAAACTGCAAAAAAACGGAATACAAATGTTTCAGGATAGAAAAAAAGGAGTCATACACGTACGAGATGGCGACAAAGATGTCAACTTGGAAAGACAATAAGATTCGAGTCACCGTTTTGGTGATAAGGCCAACACCGGTGTTTATGTACTGTAATTTAACACAGTGCTGTTACAGCGCTGTATGCTTGCAGCGCCCCCCCTCATCCTGAACACTCCAGAGATTTCTGGGTTGTTGTGAACACGTCTGAGTGGAGACTCTCCTGCTTTGCGGTTCGTATGTAAAATGCAAACTCTGACTCCATTGTAAGGATATTCTCCGCAGATCATGTCATAAAACAGCTGGAACCGGATTTTATTAAATAGTTTGTTCTCAAATTTCCAACCCAACTCTAAACGAGACGGATCAAAAAAATGGAAACTATTCTTTTCACTGATAAAGTGAGATAAAGTGTCTCACCAGGTCTGGAAGGTAATGAAGTAGAAGGCACGTTTGGTAGAGGGACGTTCTCTGGTCCCCCGATCTCCAGCAGGTTATTGTCCAGCTGCTCCTGTTCCAGCTCATCCAGCTCCGCCAGCAGTTCATCCTGAGAAACACACAAACACAACAACACAACACTGCAGGTGAGGGAAAACCCAAACGTTATTTTTAATTTCACTTTCACAATTAGTGGGAGTTGGTACAATCTTGTGTGTCAGTTACCTTGGTGAGTTAAATGTTTCACTAAGAGTTAAGATTAAAATACTTAAAGTCAGTTGACTGAGAAATTAAGAAAGAACATATTCATTATTTTCTCCCTAATCGTCCCAGGATGACTGGATACAATAATCAGCTGAGGTGAGGTCCAGCTATGAATAAGACCATTCAAAATGAGGTCGACAGCCTCAGCGAGTGAGGAAACAGAGGCCAGTCAGCAGTGATGAGCCTGAAAATATCCATCCTGCAGTAACAGGACAAGAAGAACCTGTGCTGGTGAATATAATACTTCTAGGTTTGTAATTGTTGTCCGGAAGCAAAAGATGACAAATCAGCAGGAATCCATTCAGAATAACAAAGTGATTTTAGAATAAACCACAAAGCTGGTAGTTGTATGCCCTCACCAGCCAGTTACAGTCCACATACATTTTGTTTTCCAGACTCATATGAGGACACTGTGATATTTACACTAGATTCCAACTGAAACGTACACCTGAGGATTTTTCTGTCACCGGTACAGCAGAAAGCCATGGCTAGCAGGATGTATAGAGAATGAGTCAGAAGATATCCAGCAGTATATGTCCCCTCCTTTTATTTTGTCTTCCTAGTGTTTGTTAACAGCCTGTATATGCTTCAGGAATGTGCACTTGTAGTAACAAGACTCTGTCTGTAGTCTAGTGATGTATACTCTACTTACTATCTGAACACAAGGTCAACAACTATTAATCATTTTATCAATCAGATGATTATTATCATTTTTCTATATATTACTTAGATTTAGTTATCTAAGTTTGTTTGTGCAGTATGCAGTATACTGTTAGCTTTCTGTTTTGGTGTAGAAATGACTGACATGTTTATTATTGTTTATTGATTCAATAATTACCGACTCTTTCACACCCACACAGTGTATTAAATCGTAATGGGATGGTTACTGAAAACTGAGTATGGCACGGCACAGCCCCACCAAGAATACTTTTCACCAGCTGTCACCGTTCTTGACATATCGAGTTCACAAGACCGCGACGGACAACCTGAAAACATTTATTTAAAAAAAAAACAGACATGTGAAAAAGTCTCTGACCTCATCAAACTCCTCCCCGAAGCCGACAGGTTTGGAGATGGTGTCAGATATTTCCTGGGCCAGCTCCTGCTGCTCTGTAATGTTCTGCATCAGGTCGTCCACTTTGTCAATGTCCCTGAAACATTCACAACAAGGAGAGGAGCAGAATGTTGTCCATTTAATCTGGAGGTGTAATGTTAACATTTCAGCAGGTACGTTTATATAAATACCTGTCTACTATACATGTTTCATTTTTGTCAACAGTAGATGCAGATGGTTTTGGCTGAAGCAGGAGAATATGTGCATATGGGTCAAATCTTTCAAATCCTCTTAATTTTCCAATGAGTGAAACATATTCCTCATAATCCTTCTATTGTAAGTAAAGACTAAATGTTTCCTCTTCCCCTGGATTTCCATGAAGGCTACGCTTCTGTCTGATTGATGGATCAGTAAAATTGCAAGGAACCTGATCAGTGACGGCGTGTTCGCTCTTACATGTTTTCATGGGCAGACTTGATAGCCTTTGCAGCGAAGCCCATGTTCTTGAGCACTTCAGTGTTGGTGTTGGCGTTCTCCAGAGCCTCCCTCTGAAACTCGATGGTCGACAGCGTGCCGTCGATCTGAGCGAGCTGCTTCTCGTACCTCTTCTTTCTTTTTAAAGCCTGCAGGGCCGCTGAGGAGCGAGAGAGGAATCGGGGGTCAGGAGGAATAGAGACAGGTTGACGACATAAATGCGAACTTCAACGGTGAATCATGGGGATTGTTTTGTGCTTCAACAGAAGAGTCGTGTCATGGGAGCTTGAATAAGTGGTCTGCTGCGTGAGTCAAGACCGCGCTTAACGCTCTGTGACATAGTGTTCCACCACTGATGGGAATCATTAAGAAAATACTTCTTTCCCGGACATTTTAGTGACAGCACAGACGACAAGCAGGACAACTGGAGACAGCTATGACGAGAATGTGAGGGATGAGGTGGAAAAGACTGAAACGTATTGAAGTCAGAGGAAAACACATTTTGACCTGACAGCAGCCATCGCACATGTTGTTCAAAAAGCAACGACGCCTGCAAATAAAACCACTTACACACTCAGGTTCATTTAGTCAGTGTCTGTTGTTTTGTCACAATCTGAAAAGTCTTTTCCCTGAGATCCGAGTCTGCCCTCAAAATCTACATCACCCTTCTATATACACTTCAATCTAATATTGTTTTGTATTGATAGGCAGCACTGTACACATCATAATTGAAATGACACTTCCTCTAACCTTTGTTCCATGTTGATTAATGGCTTTGTATTTCAGAAGTTAAGCTTCATTAGTGGCTGTAAACGTGTTCTGACATTATGGACCCACACAGTCCCCTCGCAGTGAGCTGCAGGACCTGCTGCAGGGTTCACTGCACACCTCACACCTCCCTGTCAGTGACTCCAGACTCCAGCATTCAACCCTTGTCCCTGTCGGTATCTTTATGGCCTGTCTCTCTGCAGCAGGACACCTGTCCACAGCCATGTGCACACCAGTCACCCAGTGTTTTGGTTGTGTTCCATGGCCACTGATCCATCACACGAAGTCGTGATGTGCAGAGACACGCTGGTAACAGAAGCTCCCTGACTGAAGACGATGATCGGGAATCAAATCTCACACTAAATAAATAAAACACGCAACGATCCAAGGTGTTGACAGCGGCTGTGATAACGGGCTGTCGTTACAACGATCACACTTCACTTAGCTAGCATGCTAACACTTAGCTCCGGATTATTGACCAGGCATTTCTGACGCCACGAAGCAGAAACCGGGAGGAAACCCCACGCTGCTGCCCCACCTCGTTTGTTTTTCGTGCCGTTTTTCTTGGCGATCTGCAGCTCCTGCTCGATCTTCTTCTCCAGAAATTCCTGCTTCTTCGTCAGCATCTCCTCCGTCTCCCGGAGCTTCTGGATCGCCTCCTGCGGGCTCGGTCCCTTTCCTCCTTTTCCTCCTGCTCCGAAGATCTTCGTCAGCAACGACATGTCCGCGACGTTCAAACACTGTTTATAAATATGAAACCAACAATGTGCGTGATGCCGGAGAGGACGAGGCTCAGCGGCTGGACCACACTGACACTTGTCCCAGTCTGAACCTGCAGGATTGTTGATGTTTTTCTACTTCCTGGATAAGGCCCGACGACGTCATGAGCACTGACAGCGTGTGGACGGCGCTTGTTGTCTCCACCTGCTGGCGAAGTTAATAATGACAATTATTATGATTGTTATTTATGATGGTGGTTATTATTATAATTATTAGAACATAATATATATAATTATTATTGTTTGCCAATAAGGTTAATTATTTCCCAGCTGATCCATAATAAAAATCGCCATTAGATGCAATGAATGGTGGATTTATTTATCTGTTTACTTAATGAACATTCATAGCTTTTGATTAGATTCAAAGACTATGGACAGGTTTATAAACCTGAATGAAACTCTGGTCATGAATTCTCTAAACTCATTAGACATTAGTGTGAGCAGAGGTATAACTGTGGTGGGGAATCTATAAAGAAAACCTGCGACACAAATTATTATCAAATTCACTAAGTAGAACTGCATCTCCTCAAACATGCCTGGAACCTCGACAGTTTTGAACAGCACTTGAAGTTGGGTGACTTGATTTGAGAGAGAACTGTCAAAGTAAGGCAGCAGGGCCCAGAGACTATGGCCTTTACTGCTCAGTGTGGATCAGGACCTCATAAACACTGGATCCTGTTGTTCCCACACTGCAACTGATGTCCTCTCATGTTCAGACCAACCATGAGACCCTGTCTGTTTATTAAGCATGTTCTCAAGGCACCTGAGTTTGATGACATGATCATGAGAAGATGTGAGGAGGAAATCAGTCATCTGTAAATAATGTGAAGAGGCCAATTAATCTGTTATCAGCTCTGTGCACCTCAGATGTTTTTATTGGCTTTATTATACCTCAGACACACACACACACACACAGTCCAACTCAGAAAAACAGAGTAAAGTTTTCACAGAAACAAAGTTGGGGGTTTATGTATTTTAATTCATTATGATGCTACATGATCCATGGTGGTTGTTTACTCATTTTCTTCCTTTACTACAGTATGTTAATAACGTTGCCAGTTATCTTTTGAAGTCTTTTTTATTTTTATGTACATACAAAAGAGTATCCAATTACTGTGTGATTACATTGACTGTATCTCTGCATGTGTAGTCTGAAGCATAGATGCCTTTTTTTATTTTCTTTAATGTAGTGTGTATTCACAGGTCAGTCCTCCTCCCAGCCGCCCACATTTCTGCTCCCCGAGCTCCCTCATGTAACAAAAAAATACACATATAAAGTTTTTTTCAAAACAACCAATTTTGATGAGATGGCAACGTGATCACCGAGATAACACATCTGTGTTGTCTCCGTCATCTCGAACCCTCCTCTCGTTTCCAACAGGAAACAAGAAATTAAAATGACTGAAATGAAGCAAAACACACACAAGCCGATAACCCAGACTCAAGATGGTCCCTTTTTTTTTTTAAAGACAGCTATTTTTTTGTTTTGCTAATATGATTTCAACACTCAAAATAATAATAATAATCATAATAAACCCAGGTCAGTTCATGCAAACTGCAGAGAGGACACTTTAATATAGTGCATTTGAATATTATAAACATCAGAAGCTTCGTGGCTACATATTTATGGAAGGGAGAAAAAAATGCAAACAAATCAATGTGATACACTAGAGGACACACAATACCCCATGGGTGAAATCAAACAACGTGGCGTAAACTGCTGAAGATGTACAGTTGGTTTTACTTGATATGTTCACTGGTTTCAGAGGGAAATTGGGTCTTTTTTTCCTTTCTCTGGCAACCTGAGGAAGTAAAATTATCTGGGAAGTGGAACTTGAACTGGGAAATACCTGACGCCTTAAACTTGATTACAGCTGTTTTTGAATTAGATCACTGCAGCAGAAATTATTGATCATTATCTTGATTTTACGGACCCATCATTTGGTCCAAGAATAGTTTGTTGAATTCTTTAAAGATTCTCTGGTCTGGTTAGCAACTGAAATCATAGGTTTTATTCAACCCGCCCCATTTTTCTGTTGTGTACAGGATATCTGTTCAGATGTATTTTTTCCCCACCACCCTTCATCCTTTGTTCTAAAACCGCCTACGATTTTACGTTTGTGGCTTCCTCATACAAACATCCACACGCAGTCACATGAGCCCTCCTGCAGGAGGCAAAACCAAAACACACACATGCATGGCCTCTACTGGCTTACATTTTCACCGCCTACTGTTCAGAAGACAATACACAGAGTATGAATCGAGGAAATAAAGTCTTTCACTGATTACTTGTGTTCACTTTTAGCAGATCATCAGTATTAAGTGGAAGAGAGATTATCAGAGGAGTGTTAGAGCTTTCTTAGAGACGATGTGAGTGAGGAAGTCTGAGACTAATGAATCTATAAGGAAGAAATGAAAGACTTCAGACATTCAGCCAGCGTGAAGCTACTTCCACACACCACTAACTGTGACCTGTGCAAGTTGTGGAGGATCATTTAGGAAAGAGAGGTGGACGGAAAGAACAGATCAGAGATCATTTCACAAAACAAAGGAAAAGGCAAAACCTGTGACAAAAACGTTTGCAATCATGGTTTAACTTGGGATCACCTTCCTTCGTTTTCTTTTTACACATTAAATTATTTTCCATCCAGACAAACCATCATGATATTGCCTTAAATGTAAAAAAAAAAGAAAATAAAGAGAAATCAACATAAACCCAGAAGACATCCCCGTTGCCGTCATGGCGCGTGTTCGTCCAAGCACGCCGCCCGTCCGTCCCTGTGCTCTGTCCATCTGTGTCTCTACAGGGCCAGCTTGCCAATGATGACTCCAATGACAAAGAGCAGCACGCAGAGTGCCAGGACACGGGTGCTTAGGCCTTCGTCCCTCACAGCTGAGGTCGCCATGGCGGAGGAGTGAGAAGCGGCCACTGACGTCACCTTTCTCTTCCGCAGCCCATCGTCCTCCTGCAATGAAGAGAGGAGTCAGATAGACGTTCAAAACAGCAAAACGATTTAATAAACACAACAAATAAAATATTGAAGCCACTTAGTTTTCAGCTTCACTCTCATACAGTTTGTTTTATTATGTCTGGTTATGTCAATAAAACAGGCTCTATTTTTTAAAAGTTATTCACCTTGTAATTTTATTCCAGATGATCTGGAACTTTCAAAATACAAACATTTTACTGTAAAGGTTTCTACTCCTCTTTGTACAACAGAGGAAGAGCTGCAGTAGAAAATAGAAGATGCAGGCTACATCCACATAATCTGATTTCTAGCCCGTATTATAAAGTATTATGTGTCCTAACTGAGACCTGAAAAGGTTTATCACCTGTCCATTAACACACTGATTATGCATGTTGCTATAAACAGGAAGCAGATGTTTTTAGCCGTTTGTTTAATTGCACAAAATGCAATAAGTGAAAAAAGTTTAAGGTGTAGCAACACTTTGTATTCAACAATGTCAGTCAAGTCAAGACTGCAGAGACCCAATCAGGCAAATATGGGCGGCTGGGTCACCATTTCCAAAAGCTTCCATTTCTGCCTGTTGGTACCAAACGCAAACCGTTTTCAATATTGCGTGAAAATTAGTCAGTCAGCTCTTCAGAAAACCTTCTGGTTTAAGGAGGTCATTTTCAATGCTTTAATCAACACTTCAGGTCTTAATGAGTTCATTTAATTTTGTGCGTCTCACCCTGATCTGTTTGTTTTCTTCCCGTAGCCTTTGCACCTCCATCTGCAGCCGCTTGCACTCCTCCATGATCTTCTTCACCTCTCCATCATCCAGCGAGGCGCTGGCTGACTTGGGCAGCACAGAGTGCTCAGTCTTAACAGAGGAGGTAGAGGAAGTGATAGTTTTGTTGCTTTCACTCTCATGCTGTGGAGAGAGTGAGGGTGTGGGTGGACAACGGGGTGAGAGCAGAGGGAGAGGAGGGAAGAGGACGAAGACACATGCAGAGACATGGCAAGGAGTGAGATGAAAGTACAGACAAATAAATCATAAATGAATAAATAAAACATGCAATGGGTGATACACAGTGATGTGCTGCTGATGAGCAAAAGATTGAGAAACTACCTAAGGACACATGTAAAGTGAGCGTCTGATCTTCTTCAGTAAGATTGCATCCAATGGACGGAAATTGCTTCAGTTATTTATTTAAAATATCAAATACAAAATGTCTTAGTTTGTAGATCAGATGAGGATTGTTTTTGCTCTGTGTAGTTGTAGTGAGCAGGTCCGACAGAAGAAGTGTGTAACTGGTCATTGCAGCTTAAATTTTCAGAATCAGGTTCAGCAAGTTCATGAGTAATGCCGAACTATAGATCAGTTAAAAAGGCATCGAAGTCATTAAATACCAGCATTTATATCTGGGGCTCTGGTCAAGACAGTGATGGACTCTACATGAAAACTTAATCCCTTGGACAGAGCACAACAGACTTAATCACTGTGTAGTTGTGTATGGCTTCAGAGGGCGCTGCTGCTCAGTAAAAGTTGTGTTGCTTTAAAGCCTGAGTGCTCTTGAATAGAAAAATTGCCTGAGTACCCTGTAGTAGAAATTAAGACTAAATTAAGACTTACAGTTTTGTCATTTTCTAGAGGCATCTCAAATGCACATCTCAACTTTGAATCCATCAGCTCTTCAGGCTTCGCCTCCTTCCACTGTGGATGACAAAAATCAAGAGTGAACAAGAGACAGAAGGAAAATTCTGTGAAAATTCATACAGAGATTCTTTAGCGTCAGGTCAGTTTATTTTTCAAGTTACATCTTTCTATCTTTTAAGAATTGCTTCCACACAACAGATGTAAACTATATACAGTATTCAAGAGTTCAGCTGGAGGCACTGTGTGATTGCGATGTCTCCAGTGTGATTCATCAAGAAAAACTCAGTAGATCATCTGTGATGTCATGTAAAGTTCAAATAGTTCAACAGCTACATACTCAAAGATTTATCCTTTGCTGACTAAAAAATATTTTGCCAAATCGGATTTAATGTTGTATACTCACAACTCCTTCCATGTCGGTCATGTCGTATGGAGCCAGCAGGGACTGCACCATGAATTTGTGTTTACTCTTTTCATTGGGGTCGTAGTCAAAAGGCTGTAGCATGACTGTGGACAAAAAAAATGGAAAACTTTAGAGACAGAACATAAGGGAAAGACCAACTTCCTGTTTTGCCCAATAACAACTATTACACAACCCGTGAATGAAAAGACATTGTTTGAGTTTATGATCCGAGTTGCAGCACGACATTCATACTCCTCGAGAACTGACTGTATAATTATTACAATAATAAAAGACATTTTAGTGTTATACAAAGGTTATTAACATATAAAGCTCAATATAACTGTAATTTTAAATAACATTTCATGAATTTAAACACTTAACTACAGTGTTATAGTTTCCATCTTCTTTTATTCTTCAAATATTTAAAACAAAGCATTGTGAAGGTATTTCCACATGTTTTTATGTAGATTGTTATTACACAGCACTTGCATAGATAGTTACTGATATAAATAAATACCTGGTCTGAGGTATAAAAATACTTGAGTACTAAAATAATTAATAGATGCAGCCCAACACATGGGACTATTTTATTAGTATTTAGATGATAGCTTGACTGTCACTGTAGCATTAAATAATCAATATCTCTCTCCTTCTGCCATTACATCCAGAATTGTTGTGACTTTTTCCACTTGAATAATCAATACCTGTCCTAAATGTAGTCGTTCTGTCTAAAACCAATGTTGCAGATCATCACATGACTGTGTCAGTATCCCACAGCTGTCTAAATGAAATGTGAGTAACCACACTGTGGGTTTGAACTTTATCACCAGTTGCAGAGGATGTAAAAAATTGTTACGAACCAGAAACATTGATGGAGGTTCCAGCGTCAATGATGCCGCTGTTTGGGCGCACGCAGTATCTGCGAGGGGCAGTTGTCTTGACTTTGAAACACACATTTCTATCTGTGGGGTTGGTGAGCTTCAGAGTGGCAGTGACCACGTCTGTGAACGGGCCTGAGGGGGAGACAGAGAGAAAAAGCACAGTGACTATGGAGAAGACGAGTGAAGGCACAGACTTGTCTTGTAGTTTGGAGGCTGCATTTGTGAGTATCACTTGTGTTACCTCAATCAATCGAAATCTAAACGCAGGGAGCACTCAAAGCATCGATTCTTGTTTGCTAAAGCGTGAGTGGTGTTTGTGAGGGACTCTGGTCTGCCATAAACATTGCACATTAATCATTAAAACAGTGGAAAGAGCAGCAAAGTGCGCAAATATTTATTATATTATTTATGCCCCGCCCTCAGCCATAAACCAGATGCTGTGGAAACCAGAGGTGCATTTTAAGACATATGAGCATGACTCTGGACAGGAGGGTTCAACTTGATTCAATGACTAAACCTTGGTTGTGGAAATTCCTGTCGGACAAACAACCTCGCTGAGCTTTCCGCACTCCTCCACTACAGTGGGTCCAGGATGGATCCTGTCCTAATAATCAATCAGGGAACAGCCTACCACTGACTGATCCGTAGGCCATCACTTGACCCATTTCTCCAGCTCTATCACACCCAAAGGCCAAAGGCAGTTCTCCACAGAAAACAGCATTTATCCCGAGAATTACTACAGCTCAGCCTGCATTTTCACAGTCATTCTGCCCGGATATAGAAAATCTGGAAAGGAATGCAGGTTGCACAGTTTAAGTGGAGTGTAAAGCTCCTCCTGGCAGCTTGCTAGCTTATCACATTGGGAAATATAGTGATAAGGCTAAGCAATGACACCCGATCGCAGAAAATGCAAAATTACTCCCTGTTTGACAGCCGGGCAATGGTGACAGCACCGATCACACGGTGCATGTCAGGAATCAGACCACATTACTGTGTCGTTTCACCTGCTGTCAGTGGACAGGAGACAGAGGCAGGGACCATAGGAGTCCGAACTAGAGAAATGGGACGGTGGGCCTGCCCTGACGCTGCAATGACAGCTAGCAGGTTAGCTGAATGCTAGCTGGATAGCATCGTCGCGCACACTGTCGTTTCACCTGTTTCAACGCATAGTGCGGCTAGCTAGGTGTGTCTAATTTAACACAACACCGACAACAAATGAAGACACCGGGACAAAGTGGAGTGGTTAACGCAGATGTCCACACACTAGCTGTCATTGAGGGCTTCTAGGTTAGCGAGCTAGCCCCCCGGCCGGGACCCGGCCCTCTGCTCCAGCGTTACCTCGGAATTTCAGTTCGTGTTGTGGCTCTAGCACCAGGACTTGTTCTGGTCTGGCCATGTCCCAGGGCTTCTTCCTGTCGTGACGGGGAGGACGGCAACGTTTTACTGCAGGTGGCCCGGCGAGGTGGAGCAGCTGGCTTCCGAGGTAGCGACCCAGCCGTTCACAGTTTTTTTTCTCTTCGGGAGGGAGGAGGATTACAGACGCAACACCCGGGCTGACTGACTGCCACCGACAGCTGCTGGAGGCTAGCGGGCTAATGCTAATTGTGCTAGCATCAGAGGGAGCGACGGGAAGGAAGGTAGAGGCTGACGTCACGGGAAGAGAGGGACCCGAGCAGGATATCAGCAAAAAAAAAAAGAAACTACATCTTCAATAATTAAACTTATATTTTAAATATAAATTATTGTAATATAATTCAACAATTTTTAACACTGAGATTAACATGGTTAAAATGAACAGGGAGCCATATGAGCCAGGGCCGTAGCTAAAGCTGGGTATGGATTTCTTCTGCACGGCCCCCAAAGCCTGGAGGGTGGGTGGTTTTATGCCTGGTCACATAATATGAAGCAGATACTGCAGGTCAAAGTTCACCAAAGTTGAACTCTGCACAAAGTCACCGGAAGCAAATGCTTTCTTCACCTCGGGAGACGAAGGATCACCGATGAAACATTTGCGTATGTGACCGGGCCCTTACTCCAAATGAATTGGATGTTGCATAATCTGACCAACAGAGGATTTGTTTGAAATGCGCTCTGTTAAAGTACATCACTTATGATGGCGCCTTCATATTGCTTCTGTATATGTAAGAGAATCAAACTAGTTTCATTCCATCATGAAGAATGAGTCTTCATATGATCAGCAGATCTGACAGTTATTTAACAGTGGATTGATCAGTGACTGTAGCAATATAAAGATGGACCACATGACTGCTTCTAAAATTGAAGCCAAATTATTTTTGATTCCCCCTAGTGGCTGGAAGAAGTTAGGCCATAAGAGCCACCTCCTCCATTTTGTCCAGTCTGTGGTATCGATGATTAATCAATGCAGAACATATCAGAAAATAGTTAAAAGTGCCAATCATTCATCCCTGAAGCTCAAAGTTACAGTCCCTGTTCTGTCTGACCACCAATGAACACAAGATTATGAGTTTGCTATTGTAGGAAATGGAGAAAATATTCATATTCATAATCGAAAAGCTTGCACCAGAGAAGCTGTGGCTTTTGCACTTGAAAAACTGAAGTGAAACGATTGAGCAGTTATCAGTGTTGTTTTTCCAATTACCTTTCTGTCACTCAACAAGTCCATTGTTTGACGACTGGTTTGTTTTAAGGGTCATAAAGAAAGTGCCATGCCTAGTGGAAGTCAGCAGAGGAACAACAAATATTAGAAAAACTGAGGTTATATGTTCCGTTGCTAAACACACTCAGTAGACTCTGACCAGAAACAATAAGTCACAAAACCTTTTAAAGTTACTTCCCTTTTTTAATCCGTCACATTTAGACGTATTGAGTATAAAAGTACTGGAAATACCATGTAAAAATACCCACCATATGCACATTTGTAGACCGGGATGCTAAAACTGCAGATTCCCCAATCTGCCCTCAAAGTCCCTAAACAGCACCTACAACCATATTATTAAAAAGTACCATAAAAAACATGTTTCTATATTATACGGTAGGTTTGTAAGTGTTACCAGAGATCAGATCAATTTGAGCTCAACTACAAACTCACATCAGGATTCACATTGGTTTCAGCCCATCCCGACATTTCTTTCAGGTTGACTCAGTGCATGGGTCAGTTCTTGTGGCTGGTCTCGGGTTACCTTCTTCAAGCTCAGGTCCTCTAGCGCAGTATGTTAGCTGTTCCTAGGACTGTGGTCTTCTGGACAGAGATCTCAGATGTTGTGCCTGTTCCTTCATTTTGATGTTCTGTTGCTTGGGATCACTACATTTATCACAACTGCCTTTTGCCGTTTGTTGACCACAACGATGTCAGGTTGGTTGCCGTCACGGTGGGTTAGTCTGGATCTTAGCTTGGTCAATCCTGACCACCTTCCATATTGACCCTGGGACTCCCAGATGTTCCTGTACACTTTGCCAGCAACTTGGTTATGGAATTCTGTGTAGGCTGTACCTGCCTGCATGTTACAGCCTGCTGTTATGTCTGCCTCAGGGGCATCTTTACTTAGCCTGCACCTGGGGACCTGTCTGCTGTGGTTATGCTCAGCGCCTGTTCCTGTGCTTCCATGATTAGAGCCAATCTTTCATTCTAGGACTCTACATAGAAGTACAGAGGAATTCTGTATATGAGTGATCAAAGATTCACTACAACATGAAGTTAGACTCACTAACCATCACAAAGCCATCCATGAATCCTGGGTGTGCTGAGTCAGGAGTCTCCAGTTTTGAACTTTCCTCTGCTGGTAGTTAAATTTCTTTAGGGTTTGACACACAACTCATCAGTCTTTAGGTTCTCCCTTCAATTGCACTACAGGTTTTCCTTTTCTGATAAATGTGTCGTTTCAGGCTTTGTATTCCACATCAATAAACAGAGAATTTGCTGGTACTGAATTCTCTTAAACTTTCATACTGGCTACAAGTTTCACTGTTGACACCTTCAGCAGTCATGGGGGGTGGATTAGCCCAGTTGCAGTGAAGTAAATGCAGTGTAGTGTGGTATAAGTCAGTTAACAGTTAAGAGGCTAATATTTACATTTATTTAAATACATAAATATCAGCTGTGGTTAAAATTTTTATTCTGCTTTCAGTTCATGGTTCACCTCCACGCTCAAAACTTCCCTCCACATACGTTTTAATTTCCATTAGAGAAAAAAAAAAAGATGCCTCTTTACTTTCTCATCAAACTCCACTTCTCTTTTGGTTCATCTTTGCCTTGAGGCCCGTTCCATCATATAATACCCGAGGCAACAATAAAAGCAACATTTACTCTCAGCTCTCCTCAGATCAGCTGAAACTTGGGAAGTTGAGCTGATGAGGTCAATTTTGGGTTGTTAGATGCACTGTGGCTATATAACACTTTGGCTGTCTGGGGTAAATGTGAGACTGCAGATAAGCACTGTGAAAAGATGACAAGTAAAATGAAACAGCTTGTGTGACGGAATTACAGAAGAAACCTTCTGTGTCCGTTTGGTGACCCAGACTTAAGCTCTTCTATTGGGTTTGAGAAAATGTTCTATTTTTGGATAAAACAACTCTTTTAAATCAGTTTCCTTAACTTTTCTGTCAAAGTGGCCTCAAGACTGAAAATATTTAGCTGCTCCACATCAGCAGTCTCTTATCAAGATAGTTTATCAGTGTGATCCAGCTCTACAGTGAAGACGTGGGCGTTGTTTACGGAGCGAAATCCTTGGTGTTTATGACAGCACAGTTTTATACACATTTGTCCCTAAAACAGAGGAAAAACATCCATCAGGAGTTGTATTTTATAGAATAAAGCTGGACGTTCAAAACCTGTTGGGTTCCTAAAATAGTTTCCACCCTGAATTTCCACATTATCGAGCAAGACAATGTGCAGAAAGGCCCTCCTATCAGAGTAGAACTTTCAAACCATCACGGTTGTCCCGATAAATACAAGCTCTGTTTACATGAAGAGGAAATGGCTGGTGGACGAAAAGGAAACTCCACTTCCTCTAGAGTAGATCTATAACAACCCTTCTAGCTGGTGAGCATTTAGTGAGAAGAATGTCAAACTGCAGCTCATGTAAGAAAGAGATGTTAGCTTTGTGTTTGACTGTAATGACAGACCGGTTACTGTCTGCACCCCCACAAAAACAACTTTATTTCTTAGAGCTCCTCTTCAGAAAGTAACGACTCATATTTGATGTACACATTAAATGAAGACGAGGGCACTGAAATGAGAGAGATGCTAGTACTGTACAGGCTGCCTCTGCTGTGCCAGGCTACGGAGGAGGACCCTCCGTTTCCACACGTCAGAAAATAAACAGAAATGTCTTTTTAAGTTTTGGCCTTTTCTAGCAAAAGAATGAGGTTTTTATAGAAACAAGCAATGTTTTGCATCTGTCGTCTTTTAACCCTTTAAAAAGTTGTCAAGTGAAGAAAACAAAAGAAACCTGAACACAACTTCAGTTGAAAGGATTTAAGTTATAGCAATACGCACACTATCAAGTGTACAATTTGTCAAGGTTCATTTGATTCTAATAAAATACTTTTTTTTTTTAAAACCCATATACATTTCATATATTTATCTTTTTGGGGTATATGGATCCAAAAATAGACATTTAAATCATAAAGAGAAAGGGAGGATAGGGGAGGAGAAATAAAACTACAAAAGCTACGAATGGTGGTCCTCCGTCCCAGAGGAGAGAGTGACAGAGGACAGAGGGGAGAGACAGAGATAGAGAGAGTGGGATAAAGAAAGAGAGAGAAAAGAAAGTGATGAGGGAGGCAGGGAGTTGGAAGGGGGATTGGCCAAGCTATACAGCGCAGTATGACACCCACTTTAGCTCATTACACACGTACAGTCGTGATCAAGGCACAGGGATCTTCTAAAAGTCTTTTTTTTCAATAAAGTTGTACAAAATAATACATTTTACAGTCTGTACAAGAATAATAGTTCAGCAGTAAAGTAAAGACAGACATACAAAGGAGCAAGAGGTCAGGGAGGAAGGAGGAAAGATGGAAGAATGGCAGGGAGGTGCGAGCACATTGTTGTACAAAATCAAACATTAGTGTCCCATTTGTTGTTTTCTTCTTGTATTTTTTTATACTCGAGGATTATTATATTTTATTTTGTCTTTAAACAAAAAGAGCACTGAAAAGAGAGGTGAAAAGGCAGCTGAGAAGTAGGTGGCGGGGAGAAAGAGAGAGGCAGGAAAGATGTGAAAATGGAGAGGAGAGTGAATTCCTCAGGGGAGAAGAAGGAAAAAATAAAAGAAGGAGAGAATGACAGAGACAGAAAGCTTAAAGAGAAAGAAAGAGCGCACAGGGCACAATGGCACAAAAGTCTACACAGACAAAAACAGCTGTGGAGACAGTAAAACAGGGTCAATCATGACGAGATGAGAGTTCTTTTTAACTTATATGGTATTGTACTGTAGAAGGATGATTTTCGCCCTCTGTTTGTTAAGTTCCACAAAAGATGGTATATTTTTTCCTTTTTTGTTTTCAACTCAATACATCCTCATCACGTTTTGCTCCACTAGCAACAAGGCAGAGTCAGATGGCAAAACAATGTTGTGGAGAAGTCGAGGGACCGCCATTGTCTTCGACCGTGTCCAGACTCCATCAAAGTAATTCACATTGGAGTCGGCCGTCTGTCCCTTGTGCCTCCTGCAGCCTGACTG